CATTTTCAAGCGTTTTTGGCATTTTGGAGCAACTGGAGATTACCAATGAAATGGATTTATGGCACCCATCTCCCCCTTCTTTCTGAGATTAAAAATGGGCAGACATGGACCCCATGCCTTGCAGGAAGGAGGCAAAATACCCTCCCCCAATTTTTAAAAAATGAAATAGAAGAAAATGCTTCCAAAAATGGAGAGGAAGGTTGCCATCAGGTTTCAATAGGGGTTGCTGTAAGATCTGGAATGTGGGTGCCTGGATGGCTGCAGGGTGCTCTCTCCTGCCAAAGGTGGTCACAGCACTATCAGATCTCTCTTTTCCAACTCTTCCTCTCCCCCATCTCTCTCTCTCTCTCCCTCCCCCTCTCTCTCTGTCTATATATATATCCATCCCTCCTAAATATTTAAAAAGATCTCCTCTCTAGCTTCATGGTACGGGGAACAAGGATGCGGGGCAGGAAAGCCCCAAGGGGCTGACAGACATTGCCAGGGACCCTTATTTAATTTAGTGCCTGGATAAGTGATCGTAATGACTGGATGCTGATGTCCCTAATGCTACCCACATACCGTGCCTTTAAAAGTGTATCAGTGACTCCTCTTAAGTGCCCACGAAAGCCATCAGGTTTCCGATTGCAGTGCTCAAACTCAACGTGATCTCTAATGGGAAAAATGGTTTAAAACAAGCGGAGCCTCTCGGTCAGCAGAAACACACAGAGCCTCCACCTTCCTGTTCCAAAAGGGCGGGTAAATAAATTACATTTTCTCCATAAAGGACACACCTGGGATGGGAAACAACAATGCAAATAAGAATCCATTCTTCTTGTAATTAACTCTCAGCTCAGCCATAATTCGGTTGCAATGAGAATTAAAAACACCACTACCAACACCGCATAAACACAGCTGTGGGATTCGTATAGAAAATTGCCTCGTGGCATTTTTGCAAAATAACCATTATTGATCTTGATTTGTACATGTTAAACTGTGGTTCCTTGGGTAAAAATATTCTGGGAGAAGTCAATAATATGCCATCATTTCATATGACACTAATAAAATAACTCAAATGAAAATTCATTTTGCTTACTTGTCTCCTTCTTAAAAGAGAAACAAAGGGGGGGGGGAACTAAGACAACCTCCCCCCACCCTCACCCCGAACATGTGCATACAAGGCATATTTATAAAACAATTCAGATTGATTTTGTAGTTACTTTAAAAAGAAACCATTGATTGTGGGATCATTCTTTACAAAAACGCACTTCTGTAGTCAGCTGATATTGATAACGGCTGTGAATCGCAGGAAAGGGTTCCTCTGATGGCTCTTGTATAGCATGCTTCCTAGAGACCCCCTCCAGACCCCCCCCCAATAGTCATAAAACATTTTTATTTCTACCATCAAAATATTCCCTTGATATCCTTCTCAGGGCAGCAGCATTACTACTGCTGAAATCTCCTTTCCCAGGGCCAAAAGGTAACTTTTGTATTCTTCTAGATCAAAATCAAAATTAATTAGTCCTGCACTTGGACATCAACAATGAGAAGGAGGGAGGGAGGGAAGGGGGACACTTAGAGATTCAAGGTTCATGAACATCACACTAGCCCCGGGGCCTCTGCTCTGCATCTGGATTAGGGGGACTGAGTAGAGGGTCATCCTGTCTTTGGAACTTAGAAGGCTTCTCCCAAAGATCTGAACCACTTCAGGAAGGGACAAGAATTATTACTCAGGTCTCATCTGAGGGATCACAGGTGGAAGACAGGGAGGAGAATCAATGGAAGAACAGTGAAGCTTTGATCCACAAACAGGTCTGTCCTGTTTGGGGGGGCAGAAGTTTTTGCTGATTGGAGTCAGAGCTTTGTGAAAAGGTAATTATGTTGATAAAGGGTGGTTAAGACAGTGGCCCAGTGTGATAAAAAGTTCCAAGATTTGTTACTCCCTCTGTTTAGCAGCTCCACATTGTTCACTAATCCAGAATAACAGCTCCACCTATTGTTCGCTAATCCAGAAGCAAATTTTTCATTAAGAAAAGTGGAAGAAGAATGAAAACAAACTGCTTAGAAAGAAAACTTGGAATGTCAGTGGATGGATCAGAAAGTAGTTTCATGCCAACATTGTGTCTCTCTTCCATTTTTGGCACTGTATGTTTCTTCTGATTGGCTCCATCTGCCATTTTTAGATCTTTAGCTCTTGGCTAAAAGTGCCTGAAGGAGGTCAGTTCTCCCATGGTGTGGAATCCTATGGCCTTCTCTCCATATTTCCTTCCAGAAAGACACCACATAACATTATCCCACTGGAGACTTTTTGCAAAGGTCTCCCAGCGATAAGAATAACATTTCCTACTATAAGAAGGTAGGAAGACGACCAGGAGACGGTCCCATCAAAGACTTCATAGACTCTCAGGGAGAAGACAGAGGAGTGCGGGCAGACTGCCATTTGCAGCAGATGTCCCAAATGTGGTGCTCCATCTAATACTGGCGTTATTCAAGATCCCACTTCCCTTATTACTCGTAATATAATTGTCAAAATTCACTCCATTCCATCTGGCCTTGCTTAAGAAACATGATCCACCGATGGGATCCTTTGTGCTCCTTTGTTGCCTTCCACCTCGCCACTTGTCTCGGGGTTCTACAGATTCCAGCCCAGATCTGCCCCATTCATTAAAACCCCCCTCCCCACCCCGGCCATCGATTTCATTATCCATGCTACCGACATCTCTCCCTCGCCCAGAAACAAAGGAGCAGATTGTCTGCTAGAAGGGACACCTGCCGAAAGATGCAACTCTTACAAAGGCGGGGATTGAAGACCATCCCCCACGTAGGCTACAAGCAATTACTTTTGCTGGCGTTAGCAGACGGTCAGCTTTGAGGCCGAGACATTCCTCATGAAGATTAGCCCGAATTATGTTTTATTGCAATGGCCTGCTCAGCTAGCCTAAACTTCATCTGGTCCGTAGCCTAATGGAATTCAATCAAGGGGATTAATACGTTGTTTATGGCACGGCTGGAGGTCCTGCACTATCAGCAGGCCTTCAAAGACTATCAGATAACAGAGGGCTGGATGCCACACGTGCAACAGCAAAGAGAATTTTTATCGTCTTGTTGAACCGGCGGCAGCACTTAAATTAAACGCTCTGAACAAAGCTTTTGCCCGTCAGCCTGTGGAAGAGAAAAATGAAAGGGTGGCCCTCGTAGAGAAGATCAGAGCAGGTCTTTGTAGTGGTTGGGTAACTTCCCACCCTTCAGGGCCCTAGAAATCCCTGCCTCCGTTCGCACGGGATAGTTTTAAGCACTAGGATGTAACTTACCATGGTGCTTCCTCCATGAAAGCGGCGCCTAATGCTAAACCTGGTTCCAACTACAGGCTGACTTGGCGGTCCAGCCAAGGACTGTGGACGTTCAGTTCAAAATCCCTGTGATGCCTCCTCCAACCAGCTCCACAAGCACAGGGAACCTGGCCAACTGAAGAAGCCAAGGGCAGAGCTGCCTTCAGTTGCAACCAGGACTTGGTCCCTAATATCCCCGAACAGAAACGTTGGATGTGCTTCTAGTGAATGTGCTTCCTATAAGTGGGGTCTTTGTCATATGTGTATCAGCTGAGCTTGTAAAAGTTTTTGAACTGCAAGTGAGGAAATGAAATAGAGAACGTTCAGGTAAAAAACAATACAAAACCCCCAAACATTCCCTTATTGAGAAAACCTCACCACACATCTCTTTCTGCTTAATTTATTTGTTTCTCCTGATATGCTAGTTTTCTATCCACCCAGGGAGACTCAATTCTTCGTTCTGCCATCTGAAATAGCTGGGAAAAAGTTTGCCCCTCATCTCTTCTAAAACTGGCTCTCATTCACACAGGCCAATGGCAAATCCTAAGCAAGGAACGATTGGCTGCACACAAACCTCTTCAGGTAGATATAGACTCCTGTCTTTATGGGTTGGCAAAGGGCAGATGAAACATTCCCATATTAATTGAAGGATAAAATGCAGAGAAGGAAGGAAGGAAGGAAGGAAGGAAGGAAGGAAGGAAGGAAGGAAGGAAGGAAGGAAGGAAGGAAGGAAGGAAGGAAGGAAGG